ATCCGTGCTCCTCTGCAAAGACAGTGATTATGTGTGAATGATGGTGAAAGTGTTTCTTTCTTTTCTGGGCCACCCTGCATTGGTAGGAGATGGCCCGAGTGTTGAAAATAAAATATGTACACCATAAAGCTCCATATCATCCTTCATTTTTACTACTGCTGCTTCTCTATCTTATATAATAAGTATTTCCCTTTATTCTCTTTTTCCTTTAGTACAAGTAATTTGCAATATGTATAAACAAACTGAACCTTTAAGAGGTAAAGGGGCATAGTGCTTTGATAATGGTGAAAGGCTCCTGACCCAAGAAATTAAAACTACCCCCTTTCCTTGGCTCAATCCAGATAAAATCCCATTTCCCAGATGCTGTATGAGACAGTCATCAGGCACTATACAAGATGACCTGGTGCAAGTCTTGTCTACAATATAGTAGCAAGATTACAAAAAAAAACATTTTTAGAATGTACATAATTATTGCAAAATTAAGTGACATTTATGGTATAATAGACAACCACCTTCATGCAAGTTACATTGCAGAAAAATGGAGCTATACTTGAAAACCCAGGTGGAATGAACAGCTTATAAGAAAAATGGGTTGTGCTGCATGCCACCTCCAGAAAAACCAAACAACTTTAATTTAAAATACACAATTCACCTAAAATAATAAACTAAGTATTGCACAATGGTTTTAACCCGTAAACAGTCCAAACATATACTATATACGTTCTTACCGCTAGCACTCCAAACGTAGATCAACATTTTATTTTTCATTCCTTCAAAATTGGCGTGATAGACCTGAGTTGCCTAGAGACGAGAGAATGGGTCTGCGCACTCAATGTGCGCAGTATGAAAAAATCAGGGACGCTTGGGTACCGCATGCTACCATGCAGTACCCAGGTGTCCCCAGTTTTTTTCATACTGCACACACTGAGTGCACAGACCCATTCAGGTCCATCTTGGGTCAACATCATGGCAAACCCTCGTGATTCACTCATGCCTCGTTATATTAGCACTCTCTTATTCAAGGAAAGTGATATAGAACATAAGTTTAGTGGATTTGAGATCGATGTGGCCGCTAATAATCAAGGAATTAGTGAAAATATCGATAACCCAGATGACCCTCAGCCAATTACCTCTGGGGTGGCTAGTGTGGCCACACCAGGCCCTGGGTCAAGCACCTCTGGGGTAGCCAGTGTGGCCACACCCGACCCTAGGCCTAGCACTTCTGCGGTGGCCAGTGTGACCACACAAGACCCTGGGCCAAGCACCTCCGGAGTGGCAAGTGTTACTCATAGGCAACTACGCAAGAGGAAACTATCATTTTCCCAGTGTTTTAGTGATAGTGAAAGTGATGTAAGTGACAATGAGACTGATTTTATGCCATTCAAGGATTCGTCTAGTGATGGTTATATTCCTTATTCACCAGTGAAGCATACGTTTAGGCATCGTCGCCTACGTTCAGGCAGTGTGCCATATGCAGTCCCCAAGGGTCATGGGAGGTCACGCTCCTAAACCCCAGCCACTGATACTGATAGTGATCATGAAGGAGAATATGCAGGAATGGAGGAAGAGGAGGTAGGTGGCACGGTGCCTGTAGCACATGGAGCGGTGGGTGGACAGACAAAGGACTGGCTGACACCCCCTCAACTATGTGCTGCTTCCACTCCTATCCTCCTCCTGCTTCCCCACACCCCATGCAACAGGTCCACCCTGCACAATGTGACCGTCAGTGGAACGGGACACAAAGTATTTTCGTGCCACAGCCTTTTGATTTTGATGCGAGTGGGAGTGGCATCCACCCAGAATGTCCCATAATGAATGAGTCTACAGAGTTAGACTTTTTCCATTTATACTTTGACAAGCCTATAACGAACTTGATAGTGACCCAGACGAACAATTATTACCGCTATATCATGGACAACACAGAGGTTGCAGAATTGTCACAGCTGCCCAGGTGGAAAGATACAACAGTGGCTGAAATGCATTTATTCCTTGCCACTGTCATGCTTATGCCACATACCTATAAGAACAATGTAAGTCTGCCCGAAATGCCTAGCCATGCTAGGTGTTCTAGTGGTACACTCTGTAATCATTATTTTACTACATGTAAACCACACAATAACCAAATTCTGTAAACTCAGCATTGTAATCCTTATAGAGAATAAACTTTGAATGTAACTACTGGGCCACATACTACAGTACTTTATCAGTACTCCTGTTTTCTGTGATCTTCCCTGCAACAGATTCACTCTGTTGCTACAAATGTTACACTTCTCAGACAGGAATATGCCCAACAGAAATGACCTTCTATACAAAATCCAGGAAGGTTTATGTATATGAAGTAGAAATTCAGTGCATACTTTTATCCCTTCAAGAACATTGTTGTTGACGAGTCCTTGATTCTGTTCAAGGGATACCTGTCATTCAAGCAATATATACCGAGCAAACCTAATCGCTTTGGAATAAAACTTTTTGTTATGTATTACTGTGAGAGTGGTCTTGTGTTGGATGTCATTGTATACACCAGGAGAAACACACTTGACAATACCAGGCGCATGTTCGGCATTTCTGGTGATGTTCACAGGATGATGGAACCATACCTTGGCAAGGGCCATACATTGTAAACAGACAACTGGTATACAAGCCCTATGCTCGCTGATTTCCTACATGTGAACAGTACTGATATATGTGGAACAGTGAGAAGGAATAGAAAACATATGCCAAGGTTCAGTGGAGGCAGTGTTGAAGGTGCAGTGCAAGCATTTAATGCCAAAGACATCATGGCACTGACGGAGCATGACTAACGGGACATGACATTGCTGTCAACCATCTACAGAAACGAGATGGTACAAACAGACAAAGTGAACTGGGACACCAATGAATGTATCGTCAAGCCAGCTGCTGTCGTCGACTATACAAACAATATGCGACTAGCTGACAAGTGTGACATGATGATAGGGTTCATTGACTGTGTGCATAGGAGTTGCAAGTGGTACATAAAAGTGCTTTCCATCTTGTAGACATTGTAATGCTCAATGCATTCAATGTGTACAAAATAAAAACTGGAAAATAACAACGTTTTGCAGAATTCTCCCTGAATGTCGTTAAACAGACAGCAAAAAAGTATGGTACCACACCTGTACCTGCCCCTCAACAGTGACTTGTCCCCCAACCACACCCACAGCCAGTGGGGGAAGTGCCAGACTGAATCATCACTAACTGTCACTACCTGGTACCAGTACCACCTGTCCCAAAGAAGAAGTATTCCCAGAAAAAGTATGTTGTGTGTGCTATCACCACAAAATGACCCCAACAGCGGAAGGATACACGATTCATATGTCACCAGTGTGGGGTGGCACTCATACAATCGTGGACTTCTAGAAACCTAAGTGGGACATGTAAATATTTGTATATACAGTGGACCCCCGGTTAACGATATTTTTTCACTCCAGAAGTATGTTCAGGTGCCAGTACTGACCGAATTTGTTCCCATAAGGAATGTTGTGAAGTAGATTAGTCCATTTCAGACCCCCAAACATACACGTACAAACGCACTTACATAAATACACTTACATAATTGGTCGCATTCGGAGGTGATCGTTATGCGGGGGTCCACTGTAGTTGTAGATACCTAGGTAGTAGGTTGGTAGACAGCAACCGCCCAGGGAGGTACTACCGTCCTGCCAAATGAGTGTTAAACGAAAGCCTGTAATTGTTTTACATGATGGTAGGATTGCTGGTGTCTTTTGTCTGTCTCATAAACATGCAAGATTTCAGGTATGTCTTGCTACTTCTACTTGCATTTAGGTCACACTACACATACATGTATAAGCATATATATACACACACACCCCTCTGGGTTTTCTTCTATTTTCTTTCTAGTTCTTGTTCTTGTTTATTTCCTCTTACCTCCATGGGGAAATGGAACAGAATTCTTCCTCCGTAAGCCATGCGTGTTGTAAGAGGCGACTAAAATGCCGGGAGCAAGGGGCTAGTAACCCCTTCTGTATATATTACTAAATTTAAAAAGAGAAACTAGTTTTTTCTTTTGGGCCACCCCACCTCAGTGGGATACGGCTGGTACGTTGAAAGAAAGAAGAAAGAGTTGTAGATAATAGAATGTGATTCAGCCAGGTGTGTAAAATCACTTATCAGTGTGTACATGTGTGTTTGTAACAGTATGATAATTTTGTATATAATATTGGTGTATAAACAACAGTTGGCAATGAAATCGAAAGATTTACTACAAAACAAAAAATCTGTGGTACCAAACTGTCCTAATCTGCTGCATCAATGATGCTACAGGACATAAATAAATGCCTTATGCAGCAGACCAATACAGAATATACTAAGAATAAAATGTAATACAACACAAGACAGTAAATTACCAGAAAATAACAGTACAATACCACATTTTCTGGCAGACAGAGGAGCATAGTATTTGTATCCTGGGCCATTTTTTATGCTTCCTAAGAGCAACTAATGAAGCTGTAGAGGGTGTTGCCACCAGTTTCAGGGAGACTCGGAATGTCAATATACAGGGAGCTGGCATTATCCTATAACTTCTTTCCAAAAGGATCAGATGTGCCCTTAAGTTTCTGAAGATGACAAACTCCTCAAGAAAACTAAGAACCCCAGAGCAACCAGCTCTGGGGTCCAGAGAGATTGTTGTGATTCAGAGGAAACGCAGCGTGCTGGGCACACAATGCACCACAGGGGAGCTGGAGGAAGTATTTAATATATATGTTTTGTGATGTCATGCTTGTTCTTATTCCCAGTTTTTTCAATAATATTAAAAAATCTCATATAGGATTGGTAGGGGGAAGAAAATACTGAAACAGCCCCAGGGAGAAACCTCTCGACTTCTTCCTGAAGTACATTTACACTCTTCTCCAAGGCTGTAGGTCCCCAGTCACTACTAGAGGTGGTGCCTCTTTTTATTTGTACAGTACAATGGACTGTATAACAAAGTACATTATTGTATCTTAAAAAAAAATACATACTACATTGTTATACTTTAATGTGTTTTACAGTTTATATCACGACCTCCAACTTCAAGAAAAATGTTCCTATGATGCAGCTGTGGATACACTGTTTGTTATACTGAACTCTCCACTGACTTTTTTGCTTCCTGTTTCATACTTACACATTACAGAAAACATGTCACCACCAAGTCTGCAAGAAATATATAAGACACCTATCAGAATAATATTGCTATATTTTGCATTACAGTTAGTCATATAAAAAAGAGCTAAATCTGTGCAAGTTATTGTGCTACAATATAAAAAAAATAACCCTATAGAATAATCACATTCAAATACAATATTTGTCTTCAAAAATATCTAGACATAAGTAAAGGGCACTAAGTATAACATACATACAACAATAACATCTTTACAAAGCTCATAATACATTCAGCATGTCATGCTAGACTTGCTCTAGTATTTCTAGTTGCAGTGTACTGTATTGATACTGAAATTTATTAATACATTATGTTTTATTATGCATATCAGAGCACTGAAGGTGTCTGAAATGAAGTTAATGTGCCCTTTGATGACTGGGACAATATCAAGTACATGAGCAAGACAAAAAATCTAAACACAGTACAAGGCTAAAATAATCCATCTGAAAATATAAGACATTGGCAAATACATTTTTTCTATAATGGTCCAAGTCGGACTGAAAGGTCACACAAGTTTCATTCTCCTATGTGTGGGTTATTTGTGTGTTACTCCAACATCAAGTTAAATCCCAAATACTATTTGTCTTCACTGACTCGAATCAAACACACACACACACACATACTTGCTCAATACTCAATACTTTACTACTCACAGCCTCCATCCCTCCCTATAATGAGTCTTAACCCTCCTGACCACCCAGGATTTATACACCCTCTTCATCAACCTATGCTGCTCCCTTCTTTCTAAATGGTAGACAGCAACCACCCAGGGAGGTACTACCGTCCTGCCAAGTGAGTGTAAAACGAAAGCCTGTAATTGTTTTACATGATGGTAGGATTGCTGGTGTCTTTTGTCTGTCTCATAAATATGCAAGATTACAGGTATGTCTTGCTACTTCTACTTACACTTAGGTCACACTACACATACATGTACACGTTTATTTATACACACTCATCTGAGTTTTCTTTGATTTTATCTTAATAGTTCTTGGTCTTATTACTTTTCCTTTTATATCCATGGGGAAGTGGAATAAGAATCTTTCCTCTGTAAGCCATGCGTGTTGTAAAAGTCAACTAAAATGCCGGGAACAATGGGCTAGTAACCCCTTTTCCTGTAAAGATTACTAAATAGAATAAGAAGAGGAAAATTGTCAAAGTGGGAAGTCTGAATGTGCGTGGATGTTGTGCAAATGATAAGAAAGAGATGATTGTGGATGTTATGAATGAGAAGAAACTGGATGTCCTGGCTTTAAGTGAAACAAAGCTGAAGGGGGTGGGAGAGTTTCAATGGAGAGGAATAAATGGGATTAGGTCAGGGGTTTCAAGTAGAGTTAGAGCTAAAGAAGGAGTAGCAATAATGTTGAAGGATAAGCTATGGCAGGAAAAGAGGGACTACAAATGTATAAATTCAAGGATTATGTGGAGTAAAATAAAGACTGGATGTGAAAAGTGGGTTATAGTAAGTGTGTATGCACCTGGAGAAGAGGGAAGTGTAGAGGAGAGAGAGAGATTTTGGGAAATGTTGAGTGAATGCGTGGGGAGTTTTGAATCAAGTGTGAGAGTAATGGTGGTTGGGGATTTCAATGCTAAAGTGGGTAAAAATGTTATAGAGGGAGTAGTAGGTAAATTTGGGATGCCAGGGGTAAATGTAAATGGGGAGCCTTTAATTGAGCTATGTGTAGAAAGAAATTTGGTAATAAGTAATACATATTTTATGAAAAAGAGGATAAATAAATATACAAGGTATGATGTAGCACGTATGAAAGTAGTTTGTTAGATTATGTATTGGTGGATAAAAGGTTGATGGGTAGGCTCCAGGATGTACATGTTTATAGAGGGGCAACTGATATATCGGATCATTATTTAGTTGTAGCTACAGTTAGAGTAAGAGGTAGATGGGAAAAGAGGAAGGTGGCAACAACAAGTAAGAGGGATGTGAAAGTGTATAAACTAAGGGAGGAGGAAGTTCGGGCGAGATATAAGTGACTATTGGCAGAAAGGTGGGCTAGTGCAAAGATGAGTAGTGGGAGGGTTGAAGAGGGTTGGAATAGTTTTAAAAATACAGTATTAGAATGTGAGGCAGAAGTTTGTGGTTATAGGAGGGTGGGGGCAGGAGGAAAGAGGAGTGATTGGTGGAATGATGAAGTAAAGGGTGTGATAAAAGAGAAAAAGGTAGCTTACGAGAGGTTTTTACAAAGCAGAAGTGTTATAAGAAGAGCAGAGTATATGGAGAGTAAAAGAAAGGTGAAGAGAGTGGTGAGAAAGTGCAAAAGGAGAGCAGATGAAAGAGTGGGAGAGGCACTGTCAAGAAATTTTAATGAAAATAAGAAAAAATTTTGGAGTGAGTTAAACAAGTTAAGAAAGCCTAGGGAAAGTATGGATTTGTCAGTTAAAAACAGAGTAGGGGAGTTAGTAGATCGGGAGAGGGAGGTATTAGGTAGATGGCGAGAATATTTTGAGGAACTTTTGAATGTTGAGGAAGAAAGGGAGGTGGTAATTTCATGCACTGGTCAGGGAGGTATACCATCTTTTAGGAGTGAAGAAGAGCAGAATGTAAGTGTGGTGGAGATACGTGAGGCATTATGCAGAATGAAAGGGGGTAAAGCAGCTGGAACTGATGGGATCATGACAGAAATGTTAAAAGCAGGGGGGAATATAGTGTTGGAGTGGTTGGTACTTTTGTTTAATAAATGTATGAAAGAGGGGAAGGTACCTAGGGATTGGCGGAGAGCATGTATAGTCCCTTTATATAAAGGGAAAGGGGACAAAAGAGACTGTAAAAATTATAGAGGAATAAGTTTACTGAGTATACCAGGAAAAGTATACGGTAGGGTTATAATTGAAAGAATTAGAGGTAAGACAGAATGTAGGATTGCGGATGAGCAAGGAGGCTTCAGAGTGGGTAGGGGATGTGTAGATCAAGTGTTTACATTGAAGCATATATGTGAACAGTATTTAGATAAAGTTAGGGAAGTTTTTATTGCATTTATGGATTTAGAAAAGGCATATGATAGAGTGGATAGAGGAGCAATATGGCAGATGTTGCAAGTATATGGAATAGGTGGTAAGTTACTAAATGCTGTAAAGAGCTTTTATGAGGATAGTGAGGCTCAGGTTAGGGTGTGTAGAAGAGAGGGAGAATACTTCCCGGTAAAAGTAGGTCTTAGACAGGGATGTGTAATGTCACCATGGTTGTTTAATATATTTATAGATGGGGTTGTAAAAGAAGTAAATGCTAGGGTGCTCGGGAGAGGGGTGGGATTAAATTATGGGGAATCAAATTCAAAATGGGAATTGACACTTTTTGCTGATGATACTGTGCTTATGGGAGATTCTAAAGAAAAATTGCAAAGGTTAGTGGATGAGTTTGAGAATGTGTGTAAAGGTAGAAAGTTGAAAGTGAACATAGAAAAGAGTAAGGTGATGAGGGTATCAAATGATTTAGATAAAGAAAAATTGGATATCAAATTGAGGAGGAGGAGTATGGAAGAAGTGAATGTTTTCAGATACTTGGGAGTTGACGTGTCAACGGATGGATTTATGAAGGATGAGGTTAATCATAGAATTGATGAGGGAAAAAAGGTGAGTGGTGCATTGAGGTATATGTGGAGTCAAAAAACGTTATCTATGGAGGCAAAGAAGGGAATGTATGAAAGTATAGTAGTACCAACACTCTTATATGGATGTGAAGCTTGGGTGGTAAATGCAGCAGCGAGGAGACAGTTGGAGGCAGTGGAGATGTCCTGTCTAAGGGCAATGTGTGGTGTAAATATTATGCAGAAAATTCGGAGTGTGGAAATTAGGAGAAGGTGTGGAGTTAATAAAAGCATTAGTCAGAGGGCAGAAGAGGGGTTGTTGAGGTGGTTTGGTCATTTAGAGAGAATGGATCAAAGTAGAATGACATGGAAAGCATATAAATCTATAGGGAAGGAAGGAGGGGTAGGGGTCATCCTCGAAAGGGTTGGAAAGAGGGGGTAAAGGAGGTTTTGTGGGCTAGGGGCTTGGACTTCCAGCAAGTGTGCATGAGCGTGTTAGATAGGAGTGAATGGAGGCGAATGATACTTGGGACCTGACGATCTGTTGGAGTGTGAGCAGGGTAATATTTAGTGAAGGGATTCAGGGAAACTGGTTATGTTCATATAGTCGGACTTGAGTCCTGGAAATGGGAAGTATACTGCCTGCACTTTAAAGGAGGGGTTTGGGATATTGGCAGTTTGGAGGGATATGTTGTGTATCTTTATACGTATATGCTTCTAAGCTGTTGTATTCTGAGCACCTCTGCAAAAGCAGTGATAATGTGTGAGTGTGGTGAAAGTGTTGAATGATGATGAAAGTATTTTCTTTTTGGGGATTTTCTTTCTTTTTTGGGTCACCCTGCCTCGATGGGAGACGGCCAACTTGTTAAAAAAAAAAAAAAATCTATATCAGCAATCCCATCCCTACTGTTTGAATTATACCTTTTTTTTTTTAACATATTGGCTGTTTCCCACCAAGGCAGAGTGACCCGAAAAACAAGAAACATTCATCATCACTCACTGCATCACTATCTTGCCAGAGGCATGCCTACACTACAGTTCAAAAACTGCAACATATCTCCACCCTTCCTTCAAAGTGCACTGTAACTATCATACCATAACATAATATTCAAACTTATGCACTTATTCTCTGCATAATACTCACACCACACATTGATCTTAAACATGATATCTCCACTGATTTCAGCTGCCTCCTTGTTGCATCATTTAATAACAATGTCTCACACCCATACATAAGTGATGGCACTACTATACTAAACATATGTACTATTTCCATGCATTTTCAAACATCCTGACTTCAAAATTTCCTTGTACTGTATTTCTTTTTAGGAATTTATACAGAAAAAGGGGCTACTAGCCCCTTTCTCTCCCAATTTTAATTACCTACAACTTGCATGACTCAATGAGAATCATAACCATCTTTCCCATGGAATTTGAAAGGAAATACAACAGAGATAAGAACTTCATATTAAAAAATACAGAAGAATGCAAAGACTACATATTTCTTTTTATTAACACATCAGCCATTTCCAACCAAGGTAGGGTGACCCGAAAAAGAAGAATCCCTTTCATCATCATTCACTCCATCACTGTCTTGCCAGAAGCATACCTACACTACAGTTAAAAACTGCAACATCAACATCTTCCCCTTCAGGTCACAGGCACTGTACTCCCACCTCTAGGACTCAAGTCCAGCTTACTGGTTTCCCCTGAATTCCTTTATAAATGTTACTTTGACCATACTCCAACAGCATGTCGAGTCATAAAAAGTATTTGTCTCCACTCGCTCCTATCTAACATGCTCACACATGCTTGCTGAAAGTCCAAGGCCCTTGCACAAAAAAACCTCCTTTACCCCCTCCCTCCAACCTTTCCTAGGATGACCCCTACCCCCACCTGCCTTCCACTACAGATTTATACGCTTTGCAAGTCATTCTACTTTGTTCCATTCTCTCTAAATGACCAAATCACCTCAACAACCCTTTGTCAGCCTTCTGACTAATACTTTTATTAACTCCACACCTCTTCCTAATTTCCACACAACAAATCCTCTGCATAATATTTACACAACACATTGCCCTTAGACACAACATCTCCACTGCCTCCAGCCTCCTCCTCACTGCAGCATTCACAACCCATGCTTCACACCCGTATAAGAGTGTTGGTACCATTATATCCTCGTACATTTCTTTCTTTCTTCTTATTTTAGTAATTTATATATGAGAAGTGGATACTAGCCCATCGCTCCTCTCAATGGGCTAGTACATTACATGGAAACACTATAGAAAGCAAAGGACAAGCAAGAGTAGATTAGCCAGAAGAAAGCAAAGGACAAGCAAGAGTAGATTAGCCAGAAAAATTCTATAAGGATGAGGAGAGAGGTTAAGTGAGAATTTCAAAATGTCAGTAGCAAAAGCAAAGTCTGAATCAAAACTGCCTCACAGGCACATCAGAAGAAAGACAATAGTTAACCCTTTGACTGTCGCAAGCCCTTTTCTGAAACTCTCATTCTATGTCGAAAAAAATTTTGAAAAAAAAAAAAAAAATTATTTTTTTCTTATGAAATGACAGAGAATCTTTTTCCGATGGTAATGGCACCAAAAGTGCGAAATTTGATCAAAAACTTATGGAATTACACTCCCGCGAAGTTAGCGACCTTGGCGACATTTACGCATCGGTGATTTCGCTGACTTTGAGCCCTATTTTTGGCCAATTCCATTGTTCCAGTCGACCAAACTCATAGCTATTTCTTTAGAACTTCATTTTTTCTATCGACCGAGTACAAAAAAGCGCCCATTTACCGATTTCAACTACCCAATAAAGTGGTCAGAAATTGGCAATTTGCCAATTTCAAGCAATCTAAAAAGATGCCAATTTCAAAATAGGGTCCAGAATTAACAATGCAGACATTCTTGGCACTAAAATAACATATCCTCTACTCATTAGTTATGTCTCTAGGCCCCTCTTAAATTACTCTTGCTTTCTATTTTGATTTTTTATTCACACAAAATAGAAGATTTACTGTTATGCAGACTACTGCATTATTGTAAAAATGGTATAAATAATATCAGTGCACTAGTGAAAAAATATCAGACTCCCCGGTTGACATGTATTGGATGTGTGGTGTGATTTGCTTACTCCTGAACATTGGTAAAAATCGAACATTTCTGCTACTTTGATCTCAATTTCAAGGTCGTTTACATCGTGAAACTAATCAAACTCATTTCTATTTCTGTGACATGTTTTCCGTTATATCCAATGAGACCAAGAAAACGAGAATACAACCATAAATACTATGGGTAAATACACCTCAAAGTCGGCGTTTTAATCGAAAAACAAGGGCGGAGTTTTTTTTTCTCATTATGCACTGCGTGCTGCAGGATTTTTTTTGTACAGTGCACACTGACCACTTAGACCCATTCTCTCACATGTGGGCCTACCAGCTTTCTCCTGCTTGATTTGAAGCCGCTAGAATTATTGAGTATATATACGTCCAAAACACTGGCTCGTAAGATGTATATATATATACATGTATGGCCGAAGCAGTCAAAGGGTTAAACACAGTATCAATTAATGAACGCTTGTTCATTAATTGATACTGCTAACAATATGCTGTTGTTTTTCTTAAAACTTTGATAACACATTGTACATACCTGTGGGCCAGCCACCTGTTTTTGATGACAGCAAGCTTGAGAGAATCACAAGTGAGTGGAGTGAGCAAATTTGTGTGGATAGCTCGCCCCATTCCCTCCATAACAACAAGGTCACAGCCCCACTGCACTATTTCATCCACTAGTGAAAGTGGAAGACGACTGAAAAATAATATGAACATTAATTTGAAAGTTCTCCATATTAGCTTTGTTATTTAATTAGTTTTATACGCCTCATTTCTTCACGTGTTTTTTTTTTTATGTGTACCCTCAGTCTTTAATCTGTTATAATCATTCATTATACACCACAAACTGATCCCTTTGTCAATCACCAATGTTAAATTTCTTGTGCAGGTTTAAATGTTTGAGTGATAAGCCCATACAAAATTCTTCCATACTGCACATCCTACAAGTATGGTAGATCTCATAAACAACCTTCCCCAACTGAAGGCCTGTATACAGAAGCAAATATTCCTATGCAAAACCAACATAATGCCCATTGCCGTCATCATTTTTATCTCTTCCATGATCTTCACGATCTTCTTATGTATGGCATAATTGAAGACTTACATTTATTGTGGTCCTTCAATCCCCATGTTCGAACTCTGGCAATGTCTCTTAATTTTCCTTAATGTCCACCCTATATACATTTACCCTCTCTATACCCAAAGGCTCGTATGCCTGCTACAAACTTGTAATCTGTCTCTCTCTGTCTCTGTCTCTGTCTCTCTCTCTCTCTCTCTCTCTGTCTCTCTCTCTCTGTCTCTGTCTCTCTCTCTCTCTCTCTCTCTCTCTGTCTCTCTCTCTGTCTCTGTCTCTCTCTCTGTCTCTGTCTCTCTCTCTGTCTCTGTCTCTTCTCTTCTCTGTCTCTGTCTCTCTCTCTGTCTCTGTCTCTCTCTCTGTCTCTCTCTCTTCTCTGTCTCTTCTCTCTGTCTCTCTCTCTCTCTCTCTCTCTTCTCTCTCTCTCTGTCTCCTCTCTCTCTCTCTCTCTCTCTCTGTCTCTCTCTCTCTGTCTCTGTCTCTCTCTCTGTCTCTGTCTCTCTCTCTCTCTCTGTCTCTGTCTCTCTCTCTGTCTCTGTCTCTCTCTCTGTCTCTCTCTTTCTCTCTCTCTCTCTCTGTCTCTCTCTCTCTCTCTCTCTCTCTCTCTCTCTCTCTCTCTCTCTCTCTCTCTCTCTCTCTCTCTCTCTCTCTCTCTCTCTCTCTCTCTCTCTCTCTCGAATATTTTTAATCACACACTCATGCCCATGGAATTTACACTGACAGATCCAAATCCCCACATGGAATAGTGCATGCAGCTATTTTTCCAGAGTAATTCAAGGACATTTACTCGAGTCAGCCAATATTTTCTCAGCTGAATTATATGCAATACTCATCGCTATCATGAACATTACAACTACGTTTCCCTCTTCATTCAATTTTATTTCAGATTTCCTAAGTATGTTACAAGTTATCCAGAATTTTGATTTCCCACATCCCTTTGCACTTTGCTGACAACAGTGGTTTTATTGTATTTCTAGCAACCACGAAAAAGTCATTTTTTGCTGGATCCTTGGACACACTGATATCCATAGCAATGAACACAGACTCAGCCAGTCAATCCATCATTAACAACCTACCAATCTTTCACAAGGGGTCCCTTTTTCAGACTATTTTCCAGTACTCTCTCAATAACTCTGAAGTCACTGGCAACAACATTGATCTGGGATAACATATGGTTTTTCATTCAAGCCTCAACTGGCTTCCTGGCCACCATCTTTCCAGTGTTGTTAGCTGGGGGAACTACATTTCCATGATTACAAATTAGATGCACAACTCACTTCATGGATACAACATGGAGAGATTCCCAACACCTCACTGCTAACATTGCCAGACTGAGCTATCAATTCACCATTTGTTAAAAGACTGTCCTAACTATCAGAGCATGACTTCCTTGCCAAAAGTTCCACCTTCAACACAAATTTGCTCTTTGTCTTTTTAACCCTTTGACTGTTGCAACCCCCAATCCTGAGGCATCTCCTGGTGTCACAAAATTTAAAAAAAAAAAATTATTTTTTCTTATGAAATGATAGAGAATCTTTTCCCGACTGTAATGACACCAAAAAAACGAAATTTGATGAAATACTGACGGAATTATGCTCTCGTGAAGTTAGCGACCTCGGCACTGTTTACAAATCGGCAATTTTGCCCACTTTGAGCCCTATTTTCGGCTAATTCCATTGTTCCAGTCTCCCAAACTCATAGTTATTTCTTTAGAACTCCATTTTTTCTATCGATTGAGTACAAGAAACTGCCCATTTACTGATTTCAACTACCTAATAATGTGGTCAGAAATTTGCAATTTGGCCAATTTCATGAAAACTAAAAAATATGACAATTTCAAAATAAGGTCCAGAATGAACAATGCAAACATTCCTGGCCCTAAAATAACATTTTCTTTGCTCATCAGTCATGTCTCCAGGCCCCTCTGATATTACTCTTGCTTTCTATTTTGAATTCTTATTCAAACAAAAAATAGAAGACTTACTATTATGCAGACTACTGCAATACTGTAATAAATGTATAAATAACATCAACCCATTCATGACTGCATATTAGAATGGCTAGTTGGGCATTTATTGGACTATGACATCATTTGTTTACTTTTGAACATTGGCAAAAATCAAACATTTCCCCTACTTTGAGCTCCATTTCTAGGTTCTTTTTATAGTAAAACCAATCAAAATCACCTCTTTCTATAATATGTTTTCTATTCTATCAAATGAGACCAAGAAAACGAGAATGCAACCATAAATACTATACGAAAATAGACCACAAAGTCAGCATTTTAATTAAAAAAAAAACGGTCGGAGTTTTTTTTTCTCATTATGCACTGCGTGCTCCAGGATTTTTTTTATATGGTGCACACTGACCACACAGACCCATTCTCTCACATGTGGGCCTACCAGCTTTCTCCTGCTTGATTTGAAGCCGCTAGAATTTATGAGTATACGTATATATGTCAAACACGGTACCTCGTCGTCAAACACGGTACCTCGTAAGACGTATATATATGGCCGCGACAGTCAAAGGGTTAACATACTCTAACCTATTGCTCCAACTTCAACATTAATTGTGCACTTGCTTTAGCACCAATTCTTACACATCACTACACCACAGTATGGCCTATACAGGTTTAACTTTTGTTTTTATTTTTTTTTTTTAACAAGTCGGCTGTCTCCCACCAAGGCAGGGTGACCCAAAAAGAAAGAAAATCCCCAAAAAGAAAATACTTTCATCATCATTCAACTCTTTCACCTCACTCACACATAATCACTGTTTTTGCAGAGGTGCTCAGAACACAACAGCTTAGAAGCATATAAGAACATAAGAACGTAAGAATGGACGAACACTGCAGAAGGTCTACTGGCCCATGCGAGGCAGGTCCTTATCAAAACAACCTCTACTTAAAGCTACCCAAGAAATAACTCCCATACCCAATGACACCAATCAAACCCAGCCCCTTCCACTCATATATTTGTCCAATCTCTTCTTAAAGCTACCCAAGGTCCTAGCCTCTTATCACCCTACTGGGAAGACTGTTCCATGCATCTACAACTCTGTTAGAAAACCAGTACTTACCTACGTCCTTTCTAAATCTAAATTTATCCAACTTAAATCCATTATTTCTGGTTCTTACATGGTTCGACACCCTCAGTACTTTATAAATATCTCCCTTGTTTATGCCCGTCATCCACTTATACACTTCAATGATATCTCCCCTCATTCTATGCCTCTCCAGAGAGTGGAGATTTAAGGCTTTAAGTCTATATACATATAAAGATACACAACATATCCCTCCAAACTGTCAATATCCAAAACCCCTCCTCTAGAGTGCAGGCATTGTACTTCCCATTTCCTGGACTCAAGTCCGGCTATATAAAAATAACCGGTTTCCCTGAATCCCTTCACTAAATATTACCCTGCCCACACTCCAATAGATCGTCAGGTCCCAAATACCATTCGTCTCCATTCACTCCTATCGAACACGCTCATGCACGCCTGCTGGAAGTCCAAGCCCCTCACCCACAAAACCTCCCTTACCCCTTCCTTCCAACCTTTTCGAGGACGAACCCTACCCCGCCTTCCTTCCCCTACAGATTTAAATGCTCTCCATGTCATTCTACTTTGATCCATTCTCTCTAAATGACCAAACCACCTCAACAACCCCTCTTCAGCCCCTCTGACTAATACTTTTATTAACTCCACACCTTCTCCTAATTTCCACACTCTGAATTTTCTGCATAATATTTACACTACACATTGCCCTTAGACAGGACATCTCCACTGCCTCCAACCGCCTCCTCGCTGCTGCACTCACAACCCAAGCTTCACACCCATAAAAGAGTGTTGGTACTACTATACTTTCATACATTTCCTTCCTTGCCTCCATAGATAATGTTTTATGTCTCCACATATACCTCAAAGCACCACTCACCTTTTTTCCTTCATCAATTCTATGATTAACCTCATCCTTCATAAATCCATCCGCCGACACATCAACTCCCAAGTACAGTGGACCCCCGAGTTTCGGCAGCCTCGACTTTCGTGAAATTCGACCTTCGGCGAGTTTTTATGGAAAAATTTGGCCTCGAGTTTCTTGAAAAGACTCATGTTTCAGCGACTGTCCGGTACCCGTCTGCCCGTCACCGCACACACCAAGCCAGTCTCCCACGCCATTCACGCTCAGTGTGCCATTGTTTACCAACACGTGACCATCACCCCGTGGGTTCATACAATACATTTCATAATAATCCATTGTTTTTTGTGCTTGCAACTGCTAATCAAGTCATCATGGACCCAAGGAAAGCTAGTGCAAGCCCTTTGGTAAATAAAGTGAGGAACACGATCCTGAGGGATTTTGACAGGGATGTGGAAGAGTTGGTGGAGGACCACAGGGAAGAGCTAACCACTGACAAACTGCAAGAGCTTCAATTGGAACAGCATCAGACCACAGCCGAGGAACTTGCTTCAGAGGAGGAGGAAGAGGGAGTGGATGAGGTGCCTTCTTCAAAGATTAAGGAGATTTGTGCAAAGTGGAATGAGTTGCAAAGTTTTGTTGAAAAGTTTCACCCTGACCAAGCTGAAACAAGCCATATCTGCAACATGTACAATGACAGTGTTGTGTCCCACTTCAGGGAAATCTTAAAAAATGCCAGAAAAAGACCTCTATGGACAGATATTTTGTGCAACAGGGGTCCAGTGACTCTCAAGTTGTTCCCAGTGGCATTAAAAGAAGAAGGGAAGTAACCCCAGATAAGGACTTGCTGCCTAAAGTCCTAATGGAATAAGATTCTTCTTCCAAACAGTAGTGTACACCTTCCTCCTATCCCCTCCTCCCGTCTTCCATCCACCCAGAACTCTTCAGTAAAGGTAAGTGTAATGTTATTATTACTTTTTTAAATGCATGTACTTGATTTCTGATTGTTTTCATTATGTAAATCATTATTTAATTTGAAAAAAAAATATTTTATTTTAATATTTTTGGGTGTCTGGAACGGATTAATTTTATTTCCATTATTTCTTATGGGGAAAATGGTTTCGAGTTTCGTGAATTTTAACCTTCAGCGGGCTCTCTGGAACGGATTAATCACGAAACTCGGGGGTCCACTGTATCTGAAAACATTCACTTCTTCCATAATCCTCCTCCCCAATTTGATATCCAATTTTTCTTTATCTAAATCATTTGATACCCTCATCACCTTACTCTTTTCTATGTTCACTTTCAACTTTCTACCTTTACACACACTCCCAAACTCATCCACTAACCTTTGCAATTTTTCTTTAGAATCTCCCATAAGCACAGTATCATCAGCAAAAAGTAACTGTGTCAATTCCCATTTTGTATTTGATTCCCCATAATTTAATCCCACCCCTCTCCCGAACACCCTAGCATTTACTTCTTTTACAACCCTATCTATAAATACAGTGGACCCCCGCTTAACGATCACCTCCCAATGCAACCAATTATGTAAGTGTATTTATGTAAGTGCGTTTGTACGTGTATGTTTGGGGGTCTGAAATGGACTAATCTACTCCACAATATTCCTTATGGGAACAAATTCGGTCAGTACTGGCACCTGAACATACTTCTGGAATGAAAAAATATCGTTAACCAGGGGTCCACTGTATATTAAACAACCATGGTGACATTACACATCCCTGTCTAAGACCTACTTTTACCGGGAAGTAGTCTCCCTCTCTTCTACACACCCTAACCTGAGCCTCACTATCCTCATAAAAACTCTTTACAGCGTTTAGTAACTTACCACCTATTCTATATACTTGCAACATCTGCCACACTGCTCCCCTATCCATTCTATCGTATGCCTTTTCTAATCCATGAATGCAATAAAAACTTCTTCCCTACCTTTATCTAAATACTGTTCACATATATGGTTCAATGTAAACACTTGATCTACAAATCCCCTACCTACTCGAAAACCTCCTTGCTCATCTGCAATCCTACATTCTGTCTTACCTCTAATTCTTTCAATTATAACCCTACCGTACACTTTTCCTGGTATACTCAGTAAACTTATTCCTCTATAATTTTTACAATCTCTTTTGTCCCTCTTCCCTTTATATAAAGGGACTATACATGCTCTCCGCCAATCTCTAGGTACCTTCCCGTCTTTCATACATTTATTAAACAAAAATACCAACCACTCCAACACTATATTCCCCCTGCTTTTAACATTTCTGTCATGATTCCATCAGTTCCAGCTGCTTTACCCACTTTCATTCTACGTAATGCCTCACGCACCTCCCCCACACTCACATCCTGTTCTTCGCTCCTAAAAGATGGTATACCTCCCTGGCCAGTGCATGAAATTACTGCCTCCCTTTCTTCATCGACATATAAAAGTTCCTCAAAATATTCTCGCCATCTACCGAAAACCTCCCTCTTCCCATGTACTAACTCCCCCTCCTCTGTTTTTAACTGAGAAATCCATTTGTTCCCTAGGCTTTCTTAACTTGTTTAACTCACTCCAAAATTTTTTCTTATTTTCATTAAAATTTCTTGACAGAGCCTCTCCCACTCTATCATCTGCTCTCCTTTTGCACTCTCTCACCACTCTCTTCACCTTTCCTTTACTCTCCATATACTCTACTCTTCATGTAACACTTCTGTTTTGTAAAAACCTCTCATAAGCTAACTTTTTCTCTTTTATCACAACCTTTACTTCATCATTCCACCAATCACTCCTCTTTCCTCCTGCACCCACCTTCCTATAACCACAAACTTCTGCCCCACATTCTAATACTGCATTTTTAAAACTATTCCAACCCTCTTCAAACCCCCCACTGCTCATATTTGCACCAGTCCACCTTTCTGCCAATAGTTGCTTATATCTCACCTGAACTTCCTCCTCCCTTAGTTCATACACTCTCACCTCCCTCTTACTTGTTGTTGCCATTTTCCTCTTCTCCCATCTACCTCTTACTCTAACTGTAGCTACAACTAAATAATGATCCGATATGTCAGTTGCCCCTCTATAAATGTGTACATCCTGGAGCCTACCCATCAACCTTTGTCCACCAATACATAATCTAACAAGCTTTCATTACATGCTATATCATACCTTGTATATTTATTTATCCTCTTCTTCATAAAATATGTATTATTTATTACTAAACCTCTTTCTACACATAGCTCAATTAAAGGCTCCCCATTTTCATTTACCCCTGGCACCCCAAATTTACCTACTACTCCCTCCACAACATTTTTGCCCACTTTAGCATTGAAATCCCCAACCACCATTACTCTCACACTTGGTTCAAAACTCCCCACGCATTCACTCAACATTTCCCAAAATCTCTCTCTCTCCTCTACACTTCTCTCTTCTCCAGGTGCATATACGCTTACTATAACCCACTTTTCGCATCCGACCTTTATTTTACTCCACATAATCCTTGAATTAATACATTTATAGTCCCTCTTTTGCTGCCATAACTTATCCTTCAACATTATTGCTACTCCTTCTTTAGCTCTAACTCTATTTGAAACCTCTGACCTAATCCCATTTATTCCTCTCCACTGAAACTCTCCTACCCCCTTCATCTTTGTTTCACTTAAAGCCAGGACATCCAGCTTCTTTTCATTCATAACATCCACAATCATCTCTTTCTTATCATTTGCACAACATCCATGCACATTCAGACTTCCCACTTTGACAATTTTCTTCTTATTATTCTTTTTAGTAATTATTACAGGAAAAGGGGTTACTAGCCCATTGTTCCCAGCATTTTTGTTGACTTTTACAACATGCATGGCTTACGGAGGAAAGATTCTTATTCCACTTCCCCATGGATATAAAAGGAAAAGTAATAAGACCAAGAACTATTAAGATAAAATCAAAGAAAACTCAGACGAGTGTGTATAAATAAACATGTACATGTACGTGTAGTGTGACCTAAGTGTAAGTAGAAGTAGCAAGACGTACCTGAAATCTTGCATGTTTCTTCTTCTTCTTTCAACAAACCGGCCGTATTCCACCTAGGCGGGGTGGTCCAAAAGGAAAAACGAAAGTTTCTCCTTTTGCATTTAGTAATATATACAGGAGAAGAGGTTACTAGCCCCTTGCTCCTGGCATTTTAGTCGCCTCTTACGACACGCATGGCTTACGGAGGAAGAATTCTGTTCCACTTCCCCATGGAGTTAAGAGGAAATAAACAAGAACTAGAAAGAAAATAGAAGAAAACCCAGATGGGTGTGTATATATATGTTTGTACATGTATGTGTAGTGTGACCTAAGTGTAAGTAGAAGTAGCAAGACGTACCTGAAATCTTGTATGTTTATGAGACAGAAAAAAGGACACCAGCAATCCTACCATCATGTAAAACAATTACAGGTTTCCGTTTTACACTCACTTGGCAGGATGTTAGTACCTTCCTGGGCGGTTGCTGTCTACCAACCTACTACTATAAATCACAGATATACTATAAAACAATGCTAAACTTCATGTCAACAATGCATTAATTTTAATTTTTTTTTTTTTTTTCAACAAGTTGGCTGTCTCCCACCGAGGCAGGGTGACCCAAAAAGAAAGAAAATCCCCAAAAAGAAAATACTTTCATCATTCAACACTTTCACCTCACTCACACATAATCACTGTTTTAGCAGAGGTGCCCAGAATACAACAGTTTAGAAGTATATACGTATAAAAATACACAATATATTCCTCCAAACTGCCAATATCCCAAACCCCTCCTTTAGAGTGCAGGCATTGTACTTCCCATTTCCAGGACTCAAGTCTGGTTATATAAAATAACTGGTTTCCCTGAATCCCTTCACTAAATATTACCCTGCTCACACTCCAACAGCTTGTCAGGTCCCTAATACCATTTGTCTCCATTCACTCCTATCTAACATGCTTACGCATGCTGGCTGGAAGTCCAAACCCCTCACCCACAACACCTCCTTTACCCCCTCCCTCCAACCTTTTCGAGGATGACCCCTACCCCGTCTCCCTTCCCCTACAGGTTTATACGCTCTCCATGTCATTCTACTTCGATCCATTCTCTCTAAATGACCAAACCACCTCAACAAACCCTCTTCAGCCCTCTGATTAATACTTTTATTAACTCCACACCTCCTAATTTCCACACTCTGAATTTTCTGCATAATATTTACACCACACATTGCCCTTAGACAGGACATCTCCAGTGCCTCCAACCGCCTCCTCGCTGCAGCATTTACAACCCAAGCTTCACACCCATATAAGAGTGTTGGTACTACTATACTTTCATACATTCCCTTCTTTGCCTCCATAAATAACATTTTTTGCCTCCACATATACCTCAATGCACCACTCACCTTTTTTCCTTCATCAATCCTATGATTAACCTCATCCTTCATAAATCCATCCGCTGACACATCAACTCCCAAATATCAGTGCCAAAACCATACTTGACTTTTTCTTTTTATTGAATAAATATTTATGATTTTGAGTTTACAATTTGTATATTTGGTGCCAGTACTACTTACCTAAGATCGAGGCATGGTGAGGCTTGACCAGACTCTCGTATACATAGAGTATAATTCTCTAAGTGCTTACTAATAATGGGGCAGACACCAGTCACTTGCTTCATAAGCATAGTAAGCTCCTCAGCAGTCACATCATTCAGAGCTGGCTTGCTGTTAGCACACAACACAACCTGCACATAATATTTATCTTATGACTTTTACCAAAATGAAGCACACAAATTACAGTTTTACAACTGAGTCATAGTACAAACCTATGTGAAATATTACTATCCTCTGTACCATTCTTTTCTTTACAAACTTAACTCAAAGTTGAAAAACCAAGACTGCGACACATTTGTAAGTTGGGATCTCATATACAGTAAACTATCAATTTAATGGATTCTGGAAATGTGGGACAGACTCCACAACTGATTTAGAAACAATGGATGAAGTCCAATGGTTACAAAATTGTCCTTTATTGTTATGATCACAGAAAAACAATCTCATGTCTATCTACCACAACTGCCATTACCAGCCACCTACTTCCCCTCTTAGTCCAATAAATTAAGGGTTTACTGTATGTATATGAATATTTGTGAGTAAACTCATTCATTATTTGCTTTTAGGAACACAATCTTCATGTGCTGGTAGCCACATATAAAATATCCTCAAACATTAAAGCTACAGATCATCTTCACAACTTCAAGTGTCCCACCCTGTGCATCACTAGAAACATTTGTTTAATAGAAATTATCAGTAAAATATTGTACTGTAGACTCTATTTTCTTCAACATGAACCTAAATACTGGTCCCCAAATCATTACATGATTAAATAAACCACTTGAAATAGTAGTATTCTCAAAATATTTAAGCTGTGTTTATGAGTCATTAGACAAGCAGCAGATATTCAAAAGACTAGTAAAGAGGAGGAAATTTTAAACATAACAAAAATAGTAAAAGATAATAAAGAGGAAAAAAGTTAAGACTATGAATATCTTGGCAATCAACAACTTACTCTGGTTCCTCGGAGAAGCAACTCTCGAACAAATGGTATAATGCCAAGGACAACATCACAACCAGAATTGTCCAAAAATATAACTGCACACCTATAGGGAGACTGCTGCTGTCTATTTATCCAGGCATCTAGATCATCATGCAGCCATGGTCGAACTGGAATACGTCCAACATATTTGTGATTACTCGTGTAGTGGAGGGGAGGGGGTAAGGGTCATCCTAGAAAAGGCTGGAGGGAAGGAGTGAAAGAGGTTTTGTGTGAAAGGGGCTTGGACATACAGCAGGCATGTGTGAGTGTGTTAGGAGTAAATGGAGACGAATGGCTGTTTGGGACTTGACGAGCTGTTGGAGTGTGAGCAGGGTGATATTTTATGAAGGGTTTCAGGGAAACTGGTTAGCTGGACTTGAGTCCTGGAGGTGGGAAGTACAATGCCTGCACTTTAAAGAAGTGGGACATTGGCTGTTTGGAGTGACATGAAATTTTGTATTTGAGCACCTCTGAAAATGAATGATGGGGAAAGTGCTTCTTTTTAAGGTCACCATACCTCAGGGAAGACAGTCAACATGTTAAAAAAAAAAATAGTTACAGGAAAAGAGCTATGGTTCTGATATCTAGTCTTCACTGCAGTAGATTACCATATGTATACTTTCAATGTTCCAAATGTTGTAGCACACACTACCTCCTCTAGGATCTCATTCCATCTATCTAGGACTATTTGTAAAGCACATTTTTTTCTTAAGTTGTTGAGATATGGAATGCCACATTGTAAAACTAAGAGAACCATAATGAGTATATTTAGTCTTTTCCAATCAAATACTACTATGTCAGTAAGCTAGGGAAGAAAAGATTTAAGTATTATATCACAGTAGGATTGCATGTCTTCAGTTTAGTCTACTGCTGTTTCCGCTAAGAATACTGGGGAAACCATGCCACTTAAACATATCCCATGTACCAGGGAGGAGCAACTCAACCAACCATATACAGATGCAACATTGATTTTCCGGACACTGATGGTCCGGAACCATACAAATTTACGAGCAGGAACCTGAAATTCCCGTGGCAGTGTATTTACCACAAAACTGTACGTCAACCAACCCCAAGACCAAGGAATACTGCGCTCTCTAAAGGCGGAAAAATCAGTAATCCGGAAAAGCTCTGGAACCAAAGGTCAAGAAAATTGATGTTGTACCTGTAAATAAGTAATATTTTCCACGTTATTAAGAGATCTGAATGGAACCTAGAAATGCAGTTAAATGTTGCTCGATTCCTGCACAGTGAATGATGCTGACAGCAAAATGAGAGTAAATGTGGAGATGCACAGCAGGCAAAATAAATGATCTTGCAGTCTATTACTGGCTTTACAGACGATCAACCAATAAGTCATAATGTCAATAAGTATTTTACAGAGTCTGACTTAAAGAAAAATGATCATAGTGAAAAATAAAAATTATTCTAATTGATTAGTACAGAATTAATGCATTCTTCTGTCACATCTTCAATCAAGATTTAATACCTTTATCAAATTTTTCTCTGAATCTATTTAATAATATATATTATGGCAAAACTGTGTGAAAAGAACTGAATGTCTGTTACAAAAACAGTAATTAATAAATAATGTAATGATTAAAGTAATAAAGCAAGGCAATATAGCATAAAATTAAAACTAATTGAAAATGTTAATATGGTCTTTCAATCTGACTTCTAAAGTTAGTTTAGCAATTTCTTTCATAGGTATTTACATAATTCAAATAAGCCATGAACACTCCATATCCTTTCAATAATCTGTTACCTCTCTTTCTCATTCAAATCAATCTTCATTTTTTGTCAGAATCACAACCTCTACTTTTCCTATCCATGTACTTTATTAAAACCTACCAATTTTGGTATTGTTTAGATACTCCCAAACCAATAACTATGACTCATTCCATCACAATTTGTGGATTATTAATACAGTCATACCCCACCCTATGTGGCCTGGTCTCAGACTGGGCCGTGGGGGCGTTGACCCCTGAAACCCTCTCCAGGTAAACCCTATGTCATTAATTGGTTCCAAGAGCAGTGACAACCCTGTTTTTGAAGTACACCAGACATAATGCCTTAAAATGATGACAAATAGCTTACTAAAAAGAAAACAGGTTAGCTGGACTTCAGTCTGGGAAATGGGAAGTATAATGCCTGCACTTTAAAGGAGGGATTTGGGATATTGGAAGTTTGGAGGAACTTCTGAACTGTTGTATTTGAGCACCTCTGCAAAGACAGTGATTATGTATGAGTGAGGTGAAAGTGTTGATAGATGATGAAAGTATTTTCTTTTTGGAGATTTTCTTTCTTTTTGATTCACCCTGCCTCGGTGGGAGACGACTGACGTGTTAAAAAAAAAAAAATGTAATAACTCGCAAAAGAATATAACTACAGTGGACCCCCGCATAACGATGGCATCACATAGCGATTAATCCGCATACCGCTTGTTTTAATCGCAAAAATTTTGCCTCACATACCGCTTAAAAACCCGCTCACCGATTTTCGTCCGAGATGCGTCCAATGTGCGGCCTGAGCCACGCTCACATGTTCCGCCGGTGGCATTGTTTACCAGCCAGCCTCCGCGGTAACATCCAAGCATACAATCGGAATATTTCGTATTATTACAGTGTTTTCGGTGCTTTTTCTGGAAAATAAGTGACCATGGGCCCCAAGAAAGCTTCTAGTGCCAACCCTACAGCAATAAGGGTGAGAATTACAATAGAGATGAAGAAAAAGATCATTGATAAGTATGAAAGTGGAGTGCGTGTCTCCGAGCTGGCCAGGTTGTATAATAAACCCCAATCAACCATCGCTACTATTGGTGGTACAGCTGCTGCTGCTGCTGCACTGTCAGCTGCTGCACTGAAAGCTGCTGCTGCTGCTGTAGCATCGTCTGCTGCTGCTGTAACATCGTCTGTTGCTGCTGTAGCATCGTCTGTTGCTGCTGTACCACCGTCAGCTGCTGCTGCTGCTGTAGCATCGTCTGCTGCTGCTGTAACATCGTCTGCTGCTGCTGTAGCATCGTCTGCTGCTGCTGTAGCATCGTCTGTTGCTGCTGTACCACCGTCAGCTGCTGCTGCTGCTGTAGCATCGTCTGCTGCTGCTGTAACATCGTCTGCTGCTGCTGTAGCATCGTCTGCTGCTGCTGTAGCATCGTCTGTTGCTGCTGTACCACCGTCAGCTGCTGCTGCTGCTGCTGTAGCACCGTTGTTGGTGTGGCTTATTGAGAATACCAAGAAACAATTAACCCCAGAGGATTTGCCACCCAGGATAACCCAAAAAAGTCAGTGTCATCGAAGACTGTCTAACTTATTTCCATTGGGGTCCTTAATCTTGTCTCCCAGGATGCAACCCACACAAGTCGACTAACACCCAGGTGAACAGGGAAAAATGCCTGGAACTAGTGCTCATATTGGTGAATTTAAAGCCAGCAAAGGTTGGTTTGAGAGATTTAAGAATCGTAGTGGCATACACAGTGTGATAAGGCCTGTTCTGGAAAAAAATGCCAAACAGGACCTACATTACTCAGGAGGAAAAGGCACTCCCAGGACACAGTGTCTCATCAGTCATTGCTGCATCTTCAATAAAGGTAAGTGTCATTTATTCTTCATTTAGTAGACTAGTACATGCACAATATATACTGTGCATGTACTACTCTACTATTGTGCATGTATCCTTCTCTTTGTGTGTGGGAAAATATATATTTCATGTGGTAAAAAATTTTTTTTCATACTTTTGGGTGTCTTGCACGGATTAATTTGATTTCCATTATTTCTTATGGGGAAAATTCATTCGCATACCGATTATTTCGCATAACAATTACCCCTCTTGCACGGATTAAAATCGTTATGCGGGGGTCCACTGTACTGCTAAACCTTAAAGAACACTAAAAACACATTTTAGTCATAGTTTTTAAAGAATAATGAACACAGTTAAAAAAATTACGATGTAGGTGATGTTGCTTAGTGACGTAAAGTCAGATGTAATGATGTTTGATGAACTGAAATTTACTCTAGAAAAATGATGTAAAGGCGAATTTGACATAGGCATAAACGACGTAAAGAGGGGTATGACTGTACAAATATAGTTCTTCGTTTATCCAAAGGACTTTTTTTTTATTTTTTACTTTCAGATGATAACTATTTTCATGCTCTCTCTTTCTTGTCTAAGAGTCATTTTTATTTCTAAATTCCATCATTATATTCCTTTCTTATACACTGTATTAACAATAATATGGATAACACCATGTACAAATTTACATAAAGTGTATGTGAAAAGGAAGGTCTATAATACAAATATAACTAACCTTGAAGTTTATCTGCAGCTTCCTTGAATCCCAGCCCCTTCTCCATCAGCTCTACTACTTCTTTAGCACCCCAGTCAAACACATTGCCAGCTAGAACTCCATGTATTAAAGTCTCCTGACGTTTATTATAGTCTAGTCCATCTAAGAAGTCCAGGTGGTTCTTCAGAAGTTTTAAGGCATTTTCATTTTCCAACTGAAAGAAAGAAAGAAGTGTGCTCTACATAGTGTTTTCCTCTTATATTCACAAAATTTATTTTTAACCTTCATCATTGCTAATCAGTTTTCCCCATCTTTGTAAGTTGCAAATAAACCACCTTCTAACTCAAATAAAATTATTATTAACTTTATTATATATATAACAAGCAAAACTGGTAATATAATTACAATCAGTTTAAGGGCTACACCCATAAGGGTCATACAGTACTGCAGGGAGAGATGTGTGAAAGTAGGAATGTGGGAAGATTAAGAGTGAGAAGTAAGCAACTGTAATGTTAAGGGGTTAGTGGAGATGGGGGTTAATGCAAGAGTAAAATTAATATCAAGGTTGGTGCAAGCAACAGTGGTAATGTTATCAAGTGGAATGTGCTCAATTCAGAAATTATACCACACACACCATGCTACTAAAGTTAGGAAGGTTGGTAACATCTCATCACTAAAACTGAAAAAAGAACTCAGAACTCGGGCAATAGCAATGACAGAGCTAGCATTTTAGTCCTGGAACAGCTACACTTTTTTAGGAATAGAATAAAAATGGAACAATAAAACTTGTTCCAAACATACTACTGCATACTGCTATAGACAAACTCTGCAAGACTATGAAATGCTGAAATGAGATTTGGTACTGCTGCAACCTGTTGAGGGTTCAGTATAATGTAAGAGCCCTTTTGTCTTGACTATTAACCTTTAAAAGAAAAAGCAATGATGAAAGAAATACTGCAAACCAGTATGAAGACAAGACACCAGTTGCAAAACAAGATTTCACTGGGACAATAAATTTTCTCTATGTAGATCTTTATCAAGTCATAGCCTTGACAAAGCACTACACAGCATGTCCCAATAACAGCTTGAGCTGCAACTCATCTGTCTTCAAGTGAAAGCATTAAACCCATCCAGAATCATAAGTCTTCTTCTTTCAACAAACCAGCCATATCCCACCGAGGCAGGGTGGCCCAATAAGAAAAACAAAAGTTTCTCTTTTTAAATTTAGTAATTTACACAGGAGAAGGGGTTACTAGCCCCTTGCTCCTGGCATTTTAGTCGCCTTGTACAACACGCATGGCGGCTTACAGAGGAAGAATTCTGTTCCACTTTCCCATGGAGATAAGAGGAAATAAACAAAAATAAGAACTAGAAAGAAAATAGAAGAAAACCTAGAGGGGTATGTATATATATGCTTGTACAAGTATGTGTAGTGTGACCCACGTGTAAGCAGAAGTAGCAAGACATACCTGAAATCTTGCATGTTTATGAGACAAAAAAGGCACCAGCAATCCTACCATCATGTAAAACAATTACAGGTTTTCGTTTTACACTCACTTGGCAGGAAGGTAGTACCTCCTTGGGCGGTTGCTGTCTACCAGCCTACTACCTACAGAATTATAAGTCGTCTTCTTCTTTCAACAAACCAGCCGTATCCCACCAAGGCAGGGTGGCCCAAAAAGAAAAACGAAAGTTCTTCTTTTTAAATTTAGTTATTTGTACAGGAGAAGGGGTTACTAGCCCCTTGCTCCCGGCATTTTAGTCACCTCTTACAACACGCATGGCTTACGGAGGAAGAATTCTGTTCCACTTCACCATGGAGATAAGAGGAAATAAACAAGAACAAGCACTAGAAAGAAAATAGAAAACCCAAAGGGGTGTGTATATACATCTTCTTTCAACGTACCAGCCGTATCCCACTGAGGTGGGGTGGCCCAAAAGGAAAAACGAAAGTTTCTCCTTTCAAATTTAGTAATACAGTGGACCCCTACTTAACGATCACCTCCCAATGCGACCAATTATGTAAGTGTATTTACGTAAGTGCGTTTGTACGTGTATGTTTGGGGGTCTGAAATGAACTAATCTACTTCACAATATTCCTTATGGGAACAAATTCGGTCAGTACTGGCACCTGAACATACTTCTGGAATGAAAAAATATCGTTAACCGGGGGTCCACTGTATATACAGGAGAAGGGGTTACTAGTCTCTTGCTCCTGGCATTTCAGTCGCCTCTTACGACACGCATGGCTTACGGAGGAAGAATTCTGTTCCACTTCCCCATGGAGATAAGAGGAAATAAACAAGAATAAGAACTAGAAAGAAAATAGCAGAACACCCAGAAGGGTGTATATATATATGCTTGTATAAATGTATGTGTAGTGTGACCTAAGTGTAAGAAGTAGCAAGACGTACCTGAAATCTTGCATGCTTATGAGACAGAAAAAAGACACCAGCAATCCTACCATCATGTAAAACAATTACAGGTTTTCGTTTTACACTCACTTGGCAGGAAGGTAGTACCTCCCTGGGCGGTTGCTGTCTACCAACCTACTACCTACAGAATCATAAGTAACATACCTTTTTCTGCTGCAGGTAAGGATCAGGAAAGTCAAATTCATTGAGACAGTGTTCCCGCATATCTAGTAAACTTCGCACTGTCAAATTACCATATGCACTGTAAGAAAGTACCTATGTTAATACATTCAGCTTTTGCAGATACTAATCTACACAGGCCACATTTATAATTTTTTTTTCAGCAAACTGGTCATATCTATACTGTTAATCAATAATGGCCTGTAATACAATATTATACACAGTTTACTGAAGTCTTATCAGGAAAAATGCCTTATCTTTGTTACCGTATACGATATCACAAAAGACTAGAAATTCCTTATTATTATTTTTTTTTATTATTATCACACTGGCCGATTCCCACCAAGGCAGGGTGGCCCGAAAAAGAAAAACTTTCACCATCATTCACTCCATCACTGTCTTGCCAGACAGTGATGTTAAAATAAGTATTCTCCTTGACATTTTCAAAGTAATATTCAAATTAAGTCACCCATAAGTTCAACAGATAAATACAGGCATGATAATCAAGACTGATATACACTTACAATGGATGGTTTTTGAGGTTGTGGAGTCGCTGCAGGTATTTATCACGGAATTTATTGGCCCTTTCTTTACTGTCTGGACTATTTGGCTGGGAGCTGATGGCACGATTCACAAAACTTCCCAATGAACTTTCAAAGCAGGAGAGCCAATAGTCTCTATAAAAGAAGAAAACAAAGTTAATTATTGAGTGAGACATATACATACCCATGTGTATCGTAAGAGGCGACTAAAATACCAGGAGCAAGGGGCTAGTAACCCCTTCTCCTGTATGTATGTATTACTAAATGTAAAAGGAGAAATTATATTTTACCTTTTGGGCCACCCCGCCTCGGTGGGATACAGCCAGTGTGTTGAAAGAAGAAAACATATACATCTAGTATATACATAATGGTTGAGAACTGGCCTAGACATACATATAGCAAAAGGTGTGGCAACTCCTCTCATAAGGGGGCTGCAACCCTTTTGTCCCAACATCTGCAGACCACAAGGGTGTTTTGAAGATCTCAGATCTGTACACTGAAGCAACAACTTTCATCTTGCATGTGTTCATTACCAAGCACAATTAGGTTACACTGGTCACGAGATGAGACACACATGCCAGACTGAAGGAGGGTCCAGATGCCTGTCTTCCTGCTCCTCAGACCCTGTGAAACATATCTTATCATGTTTGCTCCAGTAAACTCCTACTTTTTAACTTTGTTCACATTAGGTAGAAATAAGCTCTTAGTATAATTAATTAGCTAGTAAGACTCATTCATTGTGAAATGCGTCAGAATCAGGGAAATCAGTTCCTTGACTCAACCAAGTAGTGTTGGCTGGCATCTATGCTTTTCAGACATTATGTCAGCATTATTATGCCAATATAAAGGTGTGGACAATGCCAAGTTGTCCAGGATGCAAGACCCTTGCAAGTTCAATCCCAAGCGAGTGAGCAAAAACCCCCAACAGAGCTATCAACGATCGCATGCATAGAATCGTAAATTCATGGTCAAATTGTCTATCTCCATGCTGCTTAGTCATGCTCAAACTCCACTCTTTATCTTGGCTAAGTGATGTATCACTAGTATTCTCCCTACTGTGAACATTAAACATGGACCTATTACCACTGATGAGTGAATCTTGTGAACAAGTGATGGCAATTCAAGTGACATTGAAACAATTGGAAGGACACATGGTGTTGAACAGACTAAGTGAACAATAACACTAGTGTCCAATAAACATTCGCATGTTACTAAATCACTCAACACAACTCAAAAGAAGTTGAATCACTACCTTCAATCAAGCCATCAATACTGGCATTGTGACATGGTAAGTCATACAGGAATGATACACACACACCCAGGTAAGTCCTATCAAAGCTCATATTTTACTGTAATTTGTAGATATTGATGTGGAGTCGATGAGCCTAACCATACGATGTCGTAACACAAGGGCAATTGCCCAAACCCAGGAAAGACTAACCCACGACTTTCCAGGTGACATACCTGAAATATTGGAGACTACAGATAAACAGAAAAGCATGGATGCCAGTCAACATTACTTGGTTGAGTCAAGGAACTGATTTCCCTGAGTCTGATGCATTTCACATTAACCCTTTGACTGTTTCAGGCCACTTTCTCAAACTGTCATTCTATGTCGCTCAATTTTTGAAAAAAAAAAAATATTTTTTCTTATGAAATGATAGAGAATCTTTTCCTGATGGTAATGACACCAAAAGTTCGAAATTTGGTCGAAAACTCGTGGAATTATGCTCCTGCGAAGTTAGCGGTCTCGGCGACATATGCGTATCGGCAATTTCGCCGACTTTGAGCCCTATTTTCAGCCAATTCCATTGTTCCAGTTGACCAAACTCATAGCTATTTCTTTAGAACTCCATTTTATCTATCAGCTGAGTACAAGAAACCTCCCATTTACTAATTTGGACTACCCAATATGGTGGTCAGAAATTGGCAATTTGGCCAATTTCACGCAAACTAAAAAAGATGCCAATTTCAAAATAGGGTCCAGAATAAACAAGGTAGACATTCGTGGCACTAAAATAACATATGCTCTGTTCATTAGTCACATCTCTAGGCCCCTCTTATATTATTATTGCTTTCTATTTTGATTTTTTATTCATACAAAAAAATACAAAATTTACTGTTATGCAGACTATTGCATTATTGTAAAAATGGTATAAATAATATCAGTGCACTAGTGAAAGAATATTAGACTCCCCAGTTGACGTGTATTGGACGTGTGGTGTGATTTATTTACTCCTGAACATTGGTAAAAATCGAACATTTCCGCTACTTTGAGCTCAGTTTGAAGGTCGTTTTCATCGTCAAAGTAATGAAAATCATCTCTATTTCTGTAATATGTTTTCCATTTTATCACCTAAGACCATGAAAACGCGAATACAACGATAAATACTATACGAAAATACACCTCAAAGTCGGCATTTTATTCCAAAAAAACGATCAGTTTTTTTTTTCTCATTACGCAATGTGTGCTGCAGGATTTTTTTTATGTGGTGCACACTGACCACACAGACCCATTCTCTCACATGTGAGCCTACCAGCTTTCTCCTGCTTGATTTGAAGCCGCTAGAATTATTGAGTATATATACGTCAGAAACATTGGCTCGTAAGACGTATTTATACGTCGAAAACAGTCAAAGGGTTAAATGAGTCATACTAATTAATTATACTAAGTGCTTATTTCTACTTAATGTGAATAAGGTTAAGAATTAGAAGTTTACTAGAGAAAACATGGTTAGATACATTTCACAGGGTCTGAGGAACAGGAAGAAAAGCGTCTGGACCCCACCTCAGACTGGCATGTGGACCTCATCCTGTGACCAGGGTAATCTAATTTTGCTTGGTAATGAACATGTGCAAGATGAGAGCTGTTGCTTCATTGTACACATTCGAGATCTTCAAAATACCCTTGTGGTCTGCAGATGTCAGGTCGAGAGAAGTTGCAGCCCCTCTATGCCGCTCGCCCTCAGTTGGAGATAATTTCTCCACAAAAGGAGACATTTATTAGTATGACATTTCACCAACAACAAATATTACCAAGTACTTGATAAAGCCTCATTTAGATGAAGTGTTGTATTAATAAAAGGTTTCTTTTTGCTGTGTACGCCATATACAGCAAAATAAATAAGTAAATAAGGAGGCTTCAGAATGGGTAGGGGATGTGTAGATCAGGTGTTTACACTGAAGCATATATGTGAACAGTATTTAGATAAAGGTAGGGAAGTTTTCATTGCATTTATGGATTTAGAAAAGGCATATGATAGAGTGCATAGGGAAGAAATGTAGCAGATGTTGCAAGTGTATGGAATAGGTAGACTTCCAGCAAGCATGCGTGAGCGTGTTAGATAGGAGTGAATGGAGACCAACGATACTTGGGACCTGACGATCTGTTGGAGTGTGAGCAGGGTAATATTTAGTGAAGGGATTAAGGGAAACCGGTTATTTTCATATAGTCAGACTTGAGTCCTGGAAATGGGAAGTACAATGCCTGCACTTTAAAGGAGGGGTTTGGGATATTGGCAGTTTGGAGGGATATGTTGTGTATCTTTATACGTATATGCTTCTAAACTTTTGTATTCTGAGCACCTCTGCAAAAACAGTGATAATGTGTGAGTGTGGTGAAAGTGGTGAATGATGATGAAAGTGTTTTCTTTTTGGGGATTTTCTTTCTTTTTTGGGTCACCCTGCCTCGGTGGGAGACGGCCGACTTGTTGAAAAAAAGTCACCGAGGCAGGGTGACCCAAAAAAGAAAGAAAATCCCCAAAAAGAAAATACTTTCATCATCATTCAACACTTTCACCACACTCGCACATTATCACTGTTTTTGCAGAGGTGCTCAGAATACAACAGTCTAGAAGCATACACGTATAAAGATACACAACATATCCCTCCAAACTGCCAATATCCCAAACCCCTCCTTTAAAGTGCAGGCATTGTACTTCCCATTTCCAGGACTCAAGTCTGACTATATGAAAATAACCGGTTTCCCTTAATCCCTTCACTAAATATTACCCTGCTCACACTCCAACAGATCGTCAGGTCCCAAGTACCATTCGTCTCCATTCACTCCTATCTAACACGCTCACGCACGCTTGCTGGAAGTCCAAGCCCCTTACCCACAAAACCTCCTTTACCCCCTCTCTCCAACCCTTTCGAGGACGACCCCTACCCCGCCTTCCTTCCCCTATAGATTTATATGCTTTCCATGTCATTCTACTTTGATCCATTCTCTCTAAATGACCAAACCACCTCAACAACCCCTCCTCTGCCCTCTGACTAATAATTTTATTAACTCCACACCTTCTCCTAATTTCCACACTCCGAATTTTCTGCATAATATTTACACCACACATTTTGAGGAACTTTTAAATGTTAAGGAAGAAAGGGAGGTGGTAATTTCATGCACTGGCCAGGGAGGTATACCATCTTTTAGGAGTGAAGAAGAACAGACTGTAAGTGTGGTGGAGGTACGTGAGGCATTACGTAGAATGAAAGGGGGTAAAGCAGCTGGAACTGATGGGATCATGACAGAAATGTTAAAAGCAGGGGGGGATATAGTGTTGGAGTGGTTGGTACTTTTCTTTAATAAATGTATGAAAGAGGGGAAGGTACCTAGGGATTGGCAGAGAGCATGTATAGTCCCTTTATATAAGGGAAAGGGGACAAAGATTGTAAATTATAGAGGATAGTTACTGAGTATACAGGAAAAGTATACGGTAGGGTTATAATTGAAAGAATTAGAGGTAAGACAGAATGTAGAATTGCGGACAAACAAGGAGGTTTCAGAGTGGGTAGGGGATGTGTAGATCAAGTGTTTACATTGAAGCATATATGTGAACAGTATTTAGATAAAGGTAGGGAAGTTTTTATTGCATTTATGGATTTAGCAAAAGGCATATGATAGAGTGGATAGAGGAGCAATGTGGCAGATGTTGCAAGTATATGGAATAGGTGGTAAGTTACTAAATGCTGTAGAGCTTTTATGAGGATAGTGAGGCTCAGGTTAGGGTGTGTAGAAAAGAGGGAGAATACTTCCTGGTAAAAGTAGGTCTTAGACAGGGATGTGTAATGTCACCATGGTTGTTTAATATATTTATAGATGGGGTTGTAAAAGAAGTAAATGCTAGGGTGTTCGG